GTACCAGAAAGCAGTGAATTGGTAGAAGCGAGCACCAATGGTCATGAAGAGAAGAGAGCCAAATGCTAACACTGTTTGCCCTAATCTCAATGAAAGGCTTGCACTTGTTCCTACAGAACCAGGAACATCCACCATTACTGGCTTTTTTTCTTGTGTAACAAGTAAGTTATCGTTTTAATCGGTAAAGATGGAAACTTTCGACATGGGTCTGGTAAATCCTTGTCGAGTTTTCGATTAAATCATCTGGGTTTTCATTTATGATCAAAGAGATGATGATCATGATCTTGACGAAGAAGAGAGGAGAGAGTTAAAAGAAAGACAAGTTGATAGAGAGTTTCTGGTTCGCACGTTTGTTTGTAAGTGTTACGAATGGTGGAAAAGAGAAGACTGTTCATGTTATTAGAGTTGTGGTCTGTATTCATTAGACAAAACAGAGCAAATGTCGGAAGAAAACAGTAATGCAAATATTCCTTCCTTCATTTCACAATCTCTCATTTTTTTCTTATTTTACTAAAAAGTCGATTGCTTTTAGAAAATTATTACAAGTCCCTTTAGAAATAGAATTGTCCTGCTTTTGCAATTTCGACAGAATATTGGGCAGAATTTGATTAGCAAAATTGGTTTTTGTCGATGGATTTAGAAAGACAAATACTCTTTTAATACCTTTTACCAATAAATCAGAAGAAACTTGATAAGAACAAAGTACATATATCATTTGGTTATTTCAAGTGCAAGAAAGCAAAAAAAGATGAAACGAACAAAATGGTCCTTTTTTTCCATAGCCTCTCATGATTGCTTCTATTACACCGCTTCAACAACTCTGCACGAAGAAGAAGAAAGAAGATTGCGGTTTAGCAAACTTTGAGACACTTGAATTTGGGACGAGAGAAATTGAAAACCTTTCAATACACATTCTCTACTAATAATCTTTGAAATTCACAAGACACAATTTCATACAATTTGTGTTCAGTATATCGAAGATTAATGTCGAGATTCCTTCATGCCATAGCACAGAACTAGCTTTATCTTAAAGGATATAGTCAATGCTCAACAATCCCTTAACCCCAATTTCTGTTGATGGAATACATTGATACAAGATAATTCCTTCAATACCTAAGGCATCATAAGCTAAATCAAATCATACTTTTTATAATTGTTAAACTCATTCTCAAGAACAAGCATCTAAAACCTAGTAATGAAACAAGAAATGATGATAAACCAAAACAATTGAAACATAAAAAAATCCCTGAAATTTCCAGTTTCTATTTCTGATCAAGCTCAAGTAAGTAAACCACAACTCAATCAGAGAGCATCAAGTATGTAATAAATCTTATAACTTTTACAAAAATCCAATAATTTAAGAGAGATTCAATAGCAAATTGCATAAGAACACGATCTAAGGATTATAATCAAAGGAAAGGAAAATTTGATATAAAATTTCGTAGAATCCGAAATCCCCCTAACCTGAAAATCAAAAGCGAATCGAATCGAGAGACTTAGAAGTCGATCTTCAGCTCATCTTTGGAATCGGAGAAATACGAAAGGACATAAGGAACAGCACGAACAACAACAACCCAGGTTCCAAAGAGAGCAACATGAGTCCGTAGCTCTTTCAAAGCAACGGCTTTGTCTGGCTTTCGCATGAACATTCCTGGAAACATGGCTGCTTTTCTTCTTCAAAGTATCTTCTTCTTCTCTGGTGTGTGTGCTTTCTCTAAAACCCTAATTCCCCATCTCCTTTTTCTCCAACAGGTGTTTTAGTGATGGGCCGATTTTTAGATTTGGGCCGTATACAAAGCGCACCTTAGGTCTGCAATTTAGAGATGTTCAATTTGTGTGTCTTAATTTTTTTTCTAAGATTCGATGTTGTATATAACTATTTTTTTTTTTTTTGTAATTAATAAATTTGACATTCCAATCCAAAACTAAATTGGAAATTAAAAGCATGCTATAATGTAGGACGCAAAACAAAATCTAAGTGACAAAAAAAAAATATATAAAATCATTCGTGAATTTGTTTATAAATAGTAAAGAAAATTGAAATAAGTTTCTCCAAAAAAATAATATAGAAATCTATGGTAATAATTGGCTTGTTACTTTCACATAATGAAGCAGTTGAATGGATTCTCGTCACTAAAATGATCAAATCCGCTTCTTCCATAGTACGGATGATTATGTTGTGGTGGACCACCACCATCATAGCTATCGTAAATGGGTTTAGAAGGATATTCATAGCTATCGTAAATGGGTCTCGAAGGATGATTAGGTTGTGGTGGACCACCACCATAGCTATCGTAAATAGATCTCGAAGGATATCCATAATCTTGGGGTGGGTGATAGTAAGGTTCATTATACATCATCGGTTGGCCCATCATCGGAGCTTGCATCACCGTTACCGATTTAGAACTTTGACCTTCTTTGGGTTTTTCACCTTCTTTAGGCTTTTCACCTTCTTTGGGTTTTTGAGCTTCTTTACCTTTTTCAACTTCTTTGGCTTTTGGGGCTTCACCTTTAGGTGGATCGATTGTTTCGATGCGTCTTATAGCTCCACGACCTTTGGAACAGAGTTTGTTCATGATTTTCTCAGGACTACAACAAACCACTTTGATTATGACTGTGTTGGCTTTTTCATCGAAATTTTGGTCTCTTATTTCTTGTTGTTTTTTGCAAAATCAAAACAAACACACAAAAATCAGTAATGTCG